CAGGTCTCCCCACAGCAGGACAGGCCACAGCCCCGCGTCACCCTCCAGCAGCCCCCGCCTAGTGCCCAGCCGCAACTGCCCCCGCCGGAGTGACGCCAGGCCTGGGTTGGGCTGGGGCGTGTGTGTGTGTGTGTGTGTGTGTGTGCTCCCCGAGTGTGGGTACATGCATGTGTGTGCGCCCCCTGCTGGAGGGGACCGTCCCTGCTCTGTGTGTGTGTGTGTGTGTGTGTGTGTGCGCGCACGCGCCTCCTGCTGGAGGGGACAGGCCCTGCTGTCTGTGTGTGTGAGTGTGGGGGGAGGGGGAGCAGCGCCCCCTGCTGGAGGGGACAGGCCCTGCTCTGGGCGCACACCCCTTCGTGCATGCAGTGACTCATGTGACCTGTGTCCGGCTGGCGTGACGGTGCCTCCGGGATGCCGCGGCTGAGCCAGCTCTCACAGGGCAAGGACGCCCGTCTGCTGCCCAGCACAACCCCCCGTCCCCCGCCTCCTCCCACCAGGATCCTGGAGCTGAAAGACGCGGAATCGGGACATTTATTGCACTAAATTAAACAGAGTTTGCAAATGCCTGGCCGGGCGTGTCCCTGCTGGGGTGTCAATGGGCACCACCAGGCCTGATGCTGGCACGATGGGCTCCCGGGTACAGCCTGGCCTGCAGGGCAGCTGGGCCTCCATCCTGTCCCCCGCCTCCTCCCACCAGGATCCTGGAGCTGAAAGACGCGGAATCGGGACATTTATTGCACTAAATTAAACAGAGTTTGCAAATGCCTGGCCGGGCGTGTCCCTGCTGGGGTGTCAATGGGCACCACCAGGCCTGATGCTGGCACGATGGGCTCCCGGGTACAGCCTGGCCTGCAGGGCAGCTGGGCCTCCATCCTGCCAGAAGGCGCCCCGCCTTCTGCTGCTCTCCTGGCAGCTGCACCGGGGCAGGGAACCTCCCTCCTGGCCGGGCCGTCCCTTGGGCCCAGCTCCCACCAAGCGCCGCCCCCCACTGTGCCTCACGCCGCCCCTGCCAGGGCCAGAGATCGTGGACCCCCACCCTGCCCCCCCACCTACTGCCCCTCCCGGTGAGAACCCCAGAGCAGCCTCCCCCTAAGATTTTCCGTCTGCGAGCGCAGAGAGTTTCCTCAGACGTGCCACCGTGGCACCCACCAGTGGCGCTGCCCCGAGAGATTCTCCCAGGTAGCCCCCACCCCGCCTCGTGGGGAGAAGGTGAGACGCGCCCTGCCCCGGAGAGTGCTGCTCCTGGGGCAGCCCGGGGCAGGGTGGGGGCTGCCCCCGTGGGGCTGCTGCGAGCCCCCACCTGGGGCAGAGGGAAGCTGCTGCCCGCAGAGCAGCCCTGGCCCCCCACG